GGCGCGGCGGCGACGGCGGCGGGCCCCCAGGGGCCGCCTGCCTCGCCTCCTCCTCCCCACCCCGCCGCCGCCGCCACCGGCTGCTCCAGGGCAGCCAGGGCCGCCGCCTGCCGGGCAGCCTGCAAGTCGGCTGCCAGCCGCTGCTGGCGGGCTAGTGCCGCCTCCAGTGCCGCCTCTGCCCGCGCCGCCAGGCTGGCGACCGGCCCCGCCTGCTGCGCCTGCTCCTGCTCCTGCTCCTGCTGCTGGTGTTGCTGGTATTGGCGGCGGTGGTGGTGGTGCGGGGGCGGCAGCTGCGGCTGCTGCGGCTGCGGCAGCGGCGGCGGCGGCGAAACCGCGAGGCGTGCCGGCGCCGCCGCCGCGGGCTGGCCTGCCAGTGCGACCTCCACCTCTGGGCCGCCCCGGGGCACCAGCGCGGCACACAGTGCAGCCTCTATCTCTGCAGCGAGGCGAGCCTGCTCCCCTGGCGCCAGCTGGGCGCCGCCAGCCGGCGCCAGCGCCGCCGACAGCGCCGCCGTCGCCTGCGCCACCAGCTGCCCCAGGGGCGGCGCGGGGCGGCCTGCGGCGGCAGCGGCAGCAGCAGCGCCAGCGGCGGCAGCAGCAGCGGCGGGAGGGGCAGGCAATCGCGGTCAGATTGGGTTTGCAAAACTGCATCCTGCCCCTCTTGTTTGAAAAGCACCGCCATTCCGCCGGTGTGTGCTCCCGGCTTTGCCCGACGTTTTCGGCGCACGTGCGGCCGGCATGCATTGCACCCGCTGACCGCCAGGTGGTGCCAGCCTGGCGGGGCTCACCTGGCAGCGGCGGCGGCGGCGGCGCAAGGGGCTGCCAGGCCTCTCCCGGTTGCTCCTCCTGCTGCTGCGGCGGGAGCCGCCGCCGCCGCCGCCGCGCCGGGCGCCCGATGCCCGGGCAGCGCCACCGATTGAGCGGCCAGGCTGTCTGCTGGCGCCGGTTGGCGCGGGGCGGTGGCTGCCAGGCAGGCCTGCGCGGCGCCGCCTTCCCAGCCCGCCCCTTGCCAGGCGGGCCCGGCAGTGTGTGGGTGTGGGGCCTGCGCCGCCGCCGCCGCCGCCGGCCACCGCGCCTGCAGCCAGTCGGCGGCGGCCTCCCGCCGCGGCGGCTGCTCCTGCTGCTGCGTCTGCTGCGGCGGCGGCAGCGGCAGCGTGCCGCATCCCGGTTCTGGCGGAAGGTAGGCATCCAGCCAGGCGGGCAGCTGCCCCGCAGCTGCCTGCGGAGAGCCGGCCTGCTGCCACCGCTGCTGCGCGTGCTGGGGGTGCTGCGCCTGCTGGGGGTGCTGCGCCTGCTGGGGGTGCTGCGCCTGCTGCGCCTGCTGCTGCGCCTGCTGCTGCGCCTGCTGCTGCGCCTGCTGCGGCTGCGGGTGCGGGCGTGGGGGATCGGCAGCGGCCCAGGGCAGCTGCTGCCGCCAGCAGGAGGGCTCTGCCCCCCAGGCCAGCGCGGCGGGCAGCCAGCCCGCCTGCTGCGCCTGCTGTGCATGCTGCGCCTGCTGCGTCTGCTGCCAGGGCAGCCCCACCGATGCCTGCTCCGCCTGCTGCTGCCACTGCCGCTCCTGCCACCGCACGCCAGGTGCCAGCGGCGCCTGCCACGGCGGCGGCGGCTCGCCCGGCGGCTGCCACGCCTGCGGCACCGGCGCCTCGCTTCCCTGCTGCGCCTGCTGCGCCTGCTGCGCTTGCTGCTGCTGCTGCTGCTCGGGAGGGTAGCGGCGCGGGCGCCTCGCCGGCGGCGGCGTCGCCGCCGGCTCCTCCCAGCCCTCGCTCTGCTGGGAGTCTCCTGGCTCCACCCCTGCCCCTGACCCGCCGCTGTCAGTAGCTTGCGCTTCTTCCTCCGCCCCCGCCTCTGCCTCTGTCTCTTCCTTGAAAGGCGAAGCACCACCAGCAGCAGCGGCAGCGGCAGCTTGCCGCCGCTCCGCCGCCGTCGCCGCCGCGGGCGCGCGGCGGCGGCGCCGCCCCGCGAGTCGCTCCCCTCCTGGTGGGCTCCCTGCCCAACCTGCTCACCGTCTGGCCCCTCGCCGCCACCGCCACCGCGCCGCGCCGCCCGGGAGCTCTGGCGCCGCAGCTGGTGCCTCTCCAAGCTGCGCCTGCAGCTGCGCCGCTCTTCAGAAAACGCATCCAGAGGGTGTATACAGCCGCACTGCGTGTGGCAAATGGGAGGGGTGGGAACAGTGAGGGCTGCTGTGGGGTGGATGCAGCCGCGCTGTGTGGCCGTGTGGCGAGGGGGAGGGGACGATGGCGGCGCGGGAGGCGGTCGCTAGGTGTGGGGAGGCAGGCGGGTGGTGGGAAGGGGGTGGGAGGCGGTGGGAGAGGGAGGCGGGAGGGCAGGCGCCAGCTGGTCCGGTGGGTGGGGAGCAGGCCTCAAGGCCTCGATCTCGCCGGGAGGGGTAGCAGGGCAGGGAGGAGGCACAGAGCTGCTGCAGGGCTGCTGCAGGCATTTGCTTCAGGCAGCCGGGGCTCTGCAGGATGCCCCCCCCCGAGCATGCCATGGCCGCCCCTGCACGCCGCCCTCGCCTGCTGACAGAAGCGGGAGGGCGTGCCGCCGCAGTCCAGCGTGGGCGCCTTGAAGCAGCGGGAGCAGATGCGGTACTTCTGCGGTACATGGGGCGGGGCGGGGCAGGCAGTACACTTGTTGGGCCGCGGATTGCAAGCTGCGGGTGCGGCATCGTTCCCCGTCTGGGCTGCTGGGGTGGGGCTTGGAGAGGGAGGTGAGCTGGGGGAGGGGAAGGGCAGGGATGGACAAGCAAGCAGGCATGTGCATGGGCGGGCCGGCACGCGGCCAGGAGCGGCACCAGCGGCGGCGGCGGCGGCGCCCGCGCGGCGCGCAAGGCGCAGCACCCACCAGCTGGAAGCTAGATTGAAGGTCGTTGCTGCAGCCCAGCACGCGGCAGCCGCGCTGTCCGCCGCGCGGCATGGCCCCGCGGCGGCCGCCAGGCCGGCAGGCGCGGGCGGCGGCGCACGCGCAGGGTCAACAGCAGCAGTAGCGGCCGCTCGCCGCCGCGCCCGCCGGGTGCTGCTGCCGGGGCTGCGCGACTCGCTGCCGCCCCCGCGCGCTGCCTGGCTGCGTGTGGTGGCCTGGCAGGCGCGAGGGCAAGGGATGGGGCGTGAGGGGCGCTGTTCACTGGCAGGTCCTCGCAGAGGGGGACGGGGCAGCACGCTCAGAGGGGGCGCTTAACAACACTCAAGCATGGCTCTCTGTCTGCAAACAACACACTGCCAGCAATAGCCGCTCACCGGTGGCCCCCGAGCACCCCAGGAGGACCCCCACTCGCACGGAGTGTTCACTGCCTCTTGTCGACACAAATTTCTGATCCGGGCGCGAATCCAGGCTTGACGTTCCCGCCGTTTCAGCTGAGAGATCAGGGGGGAAGCGGGGACCCCTACACACTCCGCGCGGGAGATAGCGACGGATCAAATTCCGCTGCGGCTGCCTGCGGGTCAAGATCGATGCAGGATCGCATTGGAACGCGGAAAGCGGGCACGCCCAGGCCCGAGTAAAAAAACTGTACCGAGCAGACTGGAAGCTGCGCCGGTAGCCGCCATCTGTCGCCGCCGCCACACAGGTTCTCGACAGGCCTGCAGCCAGCGGCCTGGCTCTTTGCGCCCTGACCGTTACTGTAGCCACACGTGTCGCACGTGAAGGACGCAGGAAGGCCAGTGGGAGGCGTATCGTCTGTTCTGCCCAGCGCCGTCCACAGCGCCGGCCGCGGTGCTCGCGGCGGCGGCGGCGGCGTCTGCTGGCGTGTGCCGCTCAGAGCCGCCACGCAGCAAGCGCGCGGGCCATGTGAGGTGCCCACCCAGCGCCCTGCAATGCGCGGGCGCTCCAGGGAGGGTGCATGCTGGGCCGCCGGGGCTGCCGCCGTCCAGACCCTTTGGAAGTGGCAGTGCGCCGTGCATGATGAGCACCGGTACTTGTCAGCGCCTGCCCTGTAGGTTGGCCAACGCTGGGGTGGCCCCATCGCCCCAGCTGCCGCGCCTGGGCAACCCCCTTAGGCACCCCGCATATATATTTTTCGGTAATGAAGGAGATTGAAATGCAAAGCCGGTTTGAAGAAAGTGGGTGTGGATCCACACCGGAGCCAATGAGTGGCGGGCGGGAGCCTCAGGCTCCCGGCCCGGGAGGTGAGTGGTGGGGCACCAAAGGGCGGCGAGAAGGTGATGACGAGAACCGGCAGGGCATTGCCGGTGGCAGAGGAACATGAGGCGAAGAGGGGATACGGGAAACAGGACTGAGGGGCAAGGTGAGGCAGGGAGCAATGAAGGGGGGATGTGGGCCCTATGGGGTGGAGCCATGCGATGCTTATTAACACTGCTGCAGACCCTGAATGAAGGTTTGGGTGTCTGGAAAGGGAGCAACAGAAAAAAATGGAATGAAACAAAAATGCTCTGAAGGACTGAAACAGGCGCCAGGTGGCAAATAATTCACGGGGAAAACAGCTGGTGCAGCATGCGCGAGTTCGAGGGATCGAGGGCGCACCATACCGCGGGAGGGCTCTGCGGTACTCCGGGAGCCTCAAGGTGGCCACCGCTGGAGGGTGCCGCCTCGCAGGGCGCATCCAGCACATGTGCCCCACCAGCCAGCACCGCTTCCAGCTCCGCCAGCAGCTGGCGGGCGGTTGGCCGCTGCGCCGGGTCGGCAGCCAGGCAGCGGCGCACCATGCCCTGCACAACGGGCGTCGGCGGCAGCACACGCATGCACACATACACGGTCGGAAGCAGGCGGCGGCTGGCGCCGGCGCCACGCTGCACCACGCCACGCCCCTCAGAATTCGGTCCCTCGAAGCCACGCTTCAAGCAAGTGCTACGCAAGGCAGGCGCCGCGCCGGCGGCCTGCACACTCCTTTCACAGCTACGGTAGCCGCACCTGCAGCGAGGCGGGCCAGCCGGCATCGGGCTGCAGGCCGCGCCCCTGCACCGTGACGGCGTTGATGATCTGCAGCGCGCTCATGCCGGCCCAGGCGCGCCGCCCGCTCAGCATCTCCCAGAGGACCTGCGGTTTCAGGCGGTTTAGGGCTTTGGGGCGAGGTGGGGCCGCCCCAGCAGCAGGCCTTGCCGGCCCAGCAGCAGGCTTTGCCCAGCAGGCCCAGCAGGCCCAGCAGGCTCGGCAGCGGCGCGGCATGCATTCTCGATATGCCCGCCGCCGGTGCCGCCGGTACCGCCTCACCACGCCAAAGGAGAAGACGTCTGCGGCGGAGGTGAGGTGGCCATCGATGATGAGCTCTGGGGGCATGTGGGACACTGCAGGAAGGAAAGGCGGGAGGAGCGCAGGCTCTCGACGCGGGTTGCTGCACCTCTTGCGACGGCTTCTCCCGGCATGCAGGCAGGCCAGCGGGTGGAGTCGGGAGGTGTCAGGCCCCCTGCGGTGCCCATGCCGGCAGCTGCGTGGAAGCTGAAGGCCCGCGGCGCGTCCTCCACAGGCCATACCTGTCCCGTAGGTGCCGGTGTTCAGGGTGGAAAGCACGTCCAGCGGCCGCGACAGCCCGAAATCTGCGACCTGCGAACACAGGAGCAAGGCGGCGGCAAGGCAGCCGCAAGGGGGGCGTCAAAGGGTGAGGGCGACGCGTCGCGCGGGCGGCGCTGCCGCCAGGTGCGGCGGCATGCGCGGCTGGCGGCTCAGCTGGGGGCGCTGTCTGTGCAGAAGAAGAAAGCAAGCAAAAAAGAGCGGGAGGCCGGCCCAGGCGGCGACGCACCATCGCCACAAACATGCGTGAGTCTTTGGTCGATGCGCTGCACGCAGAGGGCAGGGGCAGTGGCATACGGCGGGCAGTGGCACATGTCGGGCAGCGGCAATGGCGGGCAGCGGCAATGGCGGGCAGTGGTGATGGCGGGCGGTGGCGATGGCGGGCATTGGCGGGCGGCGCGCCGAGCTGGCGACCGGCCAGGCTGCCGCCTGGCTCGCGGTCGCCGCCTCCACCACGGCAAGAGGGCCAACTGCCAGAGTGTGTGCCAGCACCGCCACCGCCGAGTGAGCGCAGCGCGCGCCAGGCTGGCCACTCGCCCCGCGCTGGCCGGCGCCCCGGCAGCGCCAGCTCGCCTCCCTGTACACCCACCCACGATTCCACACCACACACACACACACACACACACACACACAAGCGCCCGCAGCGTCAACCCTGTGCCACATGTGTACACCCTCCCACAGGCGCCCCCACCTGAGCAGGATGTTGTTGCCGGTCAGGTCTCCGTGCAGCACCGAGTGTGAGTGGAGGTAGGCCAGCGCACCCGCCACCTCCACCGCCTGCGGGCAGGAAGGAAGAAAGGGGGGGTAGGAGGGAAGGCAGGGAGGGGAGGAAGGGAGGGAGGCGGGAGGAAAGGAGGGAGGAAGAAGGAAGGGAGGGAAGGAAGGGAGGCGAGGAAGGCAGGGAGGCAGAAGGCAGGGAGGCAGGAAGGGAGGAAGGACGGAAGGGAGGGAGCAATAGGGTAGCCCGTGGCAGGCAGCAGCGCTCGGCAGCCGCCAGCAACAGCCCCCGCCGGCACAGGCCCCAGGCAGCCTCTGCGGCCGCCCCCGCTGCACCCGCCCCGCCCGCAGCCTCACAGTGCGCAGCACGGTGGCCAGGCGCGGCCGCTGCGTGGCGGCGTCCCTCAGCCGCCCGCCCTCCAGCGCGCTGGCCAGGGTGCCCAGTGTGCACAGCTCCTGCAGGCATAGGCATGTGCAGGCAGAGGCACACGCAGAGCACGATCGATGCGGCGGGAAGTGCGAGGCACGTGGGCCGGCGCCGATGCCAGAAAGAATCCCATGGGGTGCTGCTGCTGCTGGCAGCGGCAGCGCCGGCGCAGGGCCTGCCAACCCAGGACACAACCACAGGGCCGCACGGCAGGTGGCTGGGAGGAGGGCGCAGGCAGACCTGCACTATCCAAATCTCCTTCCAGCTGTCGGATCCGGAGGAGTGGGCGCACACGCCAAAGGCGTGGGTGGGCACCTGTGGCGGCGGGGCAGGAAGAATCTTTCAAGATGAAAGGAAAGAAAGGGGGGGCGAGCCCCGGTGGGCCGCGGAACTGCCGCCCGGGCCTGGTGCGCCACACCCGCGCACACACATGCACATGGCACAGCCTGCCGCTCAGGCGCGCGCCGGGCCGGCGGCAGCGCGGCCGCCAGCGCCGCGCGGGCCAGCAGCTTGCAAAGCATGGCCCCACGCCGCCGCCTGGCCGCCTGGGGCCTGTCAGCACCAGCAGCGGCACCGGCAGGGTGCCCCGGTGGCAGCGCAAGCAGCAGCAGCAGCAGGCCGGCCCAGCGACGGGAGCCATCAGCAGCAGCAGCAGGTTGCCCCGGCGGCGGCAGTGGCGGCACCCCTGCTCACGATGTGCGGGTGGCTAAGAGACTTTGAGAGCAGCGCCTCGAGCAGCGCCGCCGGCGCGCCACCGCCGCCGCTCCCGGAGCCGCCGCTCCCGGAGCCCGTGCCGCCTCCTAGGTCGGTACAGCCCGTGCTGCCGCTGCGGGGCGGGTAAAGGGATTCCTCGTCACACCCGCCGGTACCATGCTGGTCCCGCACCTCCACAATCTTGACGGCCACGCGGCTGCCGTGCCACACACCGCGGTACGTCCTGCAGGGCGGCGCGGCGAGCGGTACCGTACCGCACGCAACGTTAGGCGCACACTGGGCACGGGGCGCGGAAGAGAGGGGGCGGCGTGCTGCGCTGCGGTGCAGCGCGGTGCGGAAAGGGGAGGGGCGGGGCCGCCCGGCCGCTGCCTGACGCCCAGCACCCTAAAAACCTAAAACACTGCGGCTGCCATGCCGCCAGGCAGCATCACGCGCCCCCCGTACAGCACACACGCAGGCACAGCACACAGGCAAACACACACGCACACACACAGACACACACACAGGCAGGCACACAGGCCCGCTCACCTGCCGCTGGCGCCCGCCCCCAGCAGCTTTCCGATCGCGATCTCTCGCAGCGACTCTGGAGGCATCATGTGCTCGCCCCCGCCCGGCAGGCACCCCCCCCGCCAGCTGAGCTCGCTGGCAGAGCCCGGGCTGGCCAGCAGCAGGCCGCTGCCCGCGGTGGCGAGCGGGGAGGTGGGGCTGAGGCCCGCGGCGGCGGCGGCGGCGGTTGCGTTGTCGGCGGCGTCGGCGGCGCCGGCCCAGCCGGGCAGGCGCAGCGCCAGGCCAGCGGCGCCGCCGGGCGGCAGCGGCCGCAGCGTGGCCAGCCAGTAGGACGGCGGCGCAGCGGCCTCGTCGGCGGCACCGGAGGCGGTACCGCCGCCTGGTTCAGAAGCCGGCGCCGCGAGCGCCGCCTCCTCCCAGCCGGGAGCGGGGATCACAGGCGGTCGGGGCGTGCCCCTGCTGCCGCTATCAGTTGAGGTGGAGGCAGGGGAGGGCTGGGCCGCAGGGCCCGCCAGCAGGCCGGCCGCCGTGCAGGGAACAAAGGCTGCCGCCAGCGGCGGGCGCGGCGAGGCCGGCGACGGCGGCGGCGGCTGCAGCGACGGATCGGCCCCGCCGCCGCCGCCGCCGCCGCTGCTGCCGCTGCCGAGCTCGCCGCTGCCGCCGCTGCTGCTGCCGTCCTGCTGCTGCTGCTGCTGCTGCTGCGCGGCTGCGCCGGGCGCCTGCTGCCGGCAGGCCAGGGCAAAGGGTCGCCCCCGGGCCACCAGCTGCTGCAGCCGCTCCTGCCGCCCCTCCCCCCGGAAGCTGCCCACTACCGTGAACAGCTGCCAGAAGGGCAGCCCGGCGGGACGACGCGGCACCGCCGCCAGCTGCGCGCCAGCTTCGTTGCAGTACACCACGGGCCAGCCGGGCTCCGACACGAGGCACACCATCACCGCGTCTGCGGGCGGAGA